GCTAATTCAATCACAATACCTGAAAACTCTGACTTCGGTTTTTGGAAAAATGAAATGGTCTTTCCTTCTACTCCCGATCAACAATCAAATATCTTTTATTGAATTATGAATAACACCAATGGATTGAAATATTTAATTATCTCAAAATAAACCTTCATTTCGGTGTAATATTGAAATTAGCTTGAATTCTTCATAACCTCTGAATAGTGGGTGATCTAGTTTACTCTAATCCTGCCTAAAAGAATTTCAATTTGAGGGTAGGCTGGTAGAGGACCTGGTGGGTAATAAAATCAAATCCGGTATACGGGTGCCCCACGCTTGGTATTCCTGGCGCACACAAATATGAATAATTAAAAGGAAAAATAGGTCTCATTAAATAATTTACTCTAATCCTGCCTAAAAGTTGATTTAGACCTCCCCCTCCCCCCGGAGAAATTTCTGTGGACGCCCATGCCCGTTACGTGTTGCATCTGGCTTCTAAGATAGGTTTTGTTTTTATAGCAAAGCCACATTGGGCTATCGGCGGTGTCCACCGCGGAGAATCGAACCCCGGATTTTAACGTTGTAAATCCGAGGGCTTACTGCAGTTTCACAGTTTTTAAGAGATACAACCAGAACAACATACAACGAGAAAAGACAACATAAACACAGAATCATCTTTATTCAAGACTAGTTTCTTCCAAATTATTAATACACACTGCAGCTTATCCCACTTTCTCAGATATCACAGAACATGTATATGGTAAATGAATACACTGAAACACACCTCACAAAATATTCTGTACAATACAAGCTAGAGCACATCAAATAGTCACACATCTGACAGACAAACAACAAAATTATCCGTGTTTTCACACTGATTCCGATTCTAATTCCAGATTATTTTAAAAGTATTAAAAATCTATTTTTCATCTCTTCAGCGTTAGTTCACGTGCGTAGAATATTCCAGCAGGTGATAACAACTATAAAATGGACCAATAGGGTGGCGCTACAGTATCATCTTATTGTGACGTAATTGAGCTTCAAAAGATGCCTTTCAAATACCAAAACAATTTTTTTTCACCGTAATGCACAATTCAGTTTCGTGACTCAAACTCCTGATTCGTTATGTGCAACTCATAGAATTATTTAAAAATAAAGAATACTTTTTATTAAGTTTACTAACATGCTTTGGTATTAAAAAAGTTCAGTTAAATAACTATTCATAGATAGCACCAAACACTATATTGTTATTTCTTTAGCTTAGTTTTAACATTTCTTTAAGAAAAGATAATTTATTTAACAAGATCAAAAACTAACAAATTAAAATTCAATACTCAGATGATGAACGAGAGTTTTAAAATATCTTGCATTGTATACACACTAAGAATTAACACCTCGGTAACAAATTGTGTTCGCTCTTTATACACAAGCGTCAAAAACTTTTGAAATAAAAGTATTTTCTATCCTAATTAAAAACATTCAACTAATGCCCAAAATATGGGTTTAAACATGTATTGCTGCGATTATACAGAAAACTGTGCAATTTACCCAATCAGGTTTAATTAATTTACCACTCGCAAAGGAAGCCCACATTCGGTAGGATTTAGTCAAAACAAGTCTTATTTCATTTGCAGTTAAACTTCAATTTCTTTTGTCGAAATGTTTAGAAACTTTTCGAACAGTAACAGCTAGAAACAAATCTGACCGACGAATTATCACAAGTTGTAAATACTTGGTGCATTTAAAAAACAATAGCTCTATAAAAACATGGAAATCACTTTTAAACACAATTTTTGAGAAAGTATATTTAGGGTTTTCTGCAGTAAAGACGAACTTCCGAATTGCGAAACTTACAGAAGGGGATTTGAGACGATTTGTTTTTCTTTACATTTGAAATTGAAAATGTGAAAAAAAAAACGTGACTGTAGTAATACAAAAAATGTAATCCACGTTCTTATGAAGCAAGTTATTTTACGTGACTGTTTTTACGTTAAAGAACGTGACTGTAGTAATACGAAAAATGTAATCCACGTTCTTATGAAGCAAGTTATTTTACTAAATGTTATTTAAGTCTCCGTTATTTAATAAGTAAAATTATTGTACATACAGAGCATATCAAAAATACTGAGCAGGTTATTAGATTTGTTAAAATAACACATTATTGATTTGAAATATTCGTATAAATACGAGCGAATTAATAACTTATTTAGCTAACTTCCATAACGCTGGTGCCGAAAGAAGGAAATAAGAAAATGCCCAACATCCCGAATCCGGCATTGGGACTAGCGACAAGTCGCATGACTTATCTTAAATCTTCGCACCAAATACATACCCTAAATGCCCCGTTTTTAGCCACACTTTTAGTCGTTTTTAAATATACCTGTACTCAACTACCGTATTCATATTTCTTCTTCTCCTCATCAATTTTTTTTTTTCTGGGTGAAGGTAAATTGTAAAGAATCATTTCAGACACTCGGTGTTGTGAAACACTCGGTGTTTCAGACACTCGGTGTTGGATCGTGTGAATATTCACACGATCCAAACGTTATACTTAAGAACTGTAAATAAATTAAATTTTAGTAATTAGTTACAATATTTAGATTTTGGACATTTTAACGGTCTTATAGTTATATCTGTTGCTGAAAAGGTCTCGAAAAAATAAGATGTTTTGTATACATGTTTTATTAGCTTAACATTTGGGTGGAGCTAACTAACCCTGAGCTTGTGACGCAAAAAAAAAACTCGTGTACAGTTTTGCATTCATTTCACACAGCGACGTCTACTTTTAAACTAACATAATAATAATTGGTGGACTTAAAATATAAATACGTTTTTTGGCATACGAAATTAATTTCTAATAGGAGTTTTAAAACAGTAACTAGTAAATGTTTTGTATTTTGTAAAATTTTTAATGAAAAATTTAATATGCATAGTAGTAAACCACAGTTTGCAAAATAACACGAAAAGCATTATTCTTCAACTGAAAAACCTGCGTATGCAAAACTCTTAATGTTTGTTTACTGTAGCCTATACATACGCAGAAGTTCATGTAAATGTATGTATAACACTACAATACTCCAATCAAAAAAAGATTCGAAATAGTTGCCATTGTACTAATGGGCATAGTTGTTTCCCAGAATTCCTTTAAAAGCTTTTTTTTATCGTGAGACTATCATAGAACAACTATATGACATGAAAAAAAAATGCTGTTAAAATACACAATTCACAATATGAATGTTTTAAATGTGCTGTGGTTGAATACTTCTTTCGTATTTCATGATAATTCAAGACTGTTATTTATTAGAATAACAAGAACTTCATGGTACAACAATTACTTAAAATGTTAGTAGCTATTGCTGTCTCTTGTTTGCTTTTATCAGACAAAATTCTTACGTGTATATTAAGATACAAGATGTTTCTCAACACTGTGTATAGATAGCACCACTATGCGTTCTTGTAGATACTTGATATCAGTACATTTTACATTGTTTATTCCCTTGTGCCAACAACTGATTTATACTTAATATAAAAAAATACTACCATTACCAAACAAAAACGTTTCTAAATAAACATTAGGTTCATTTAAGTTACACCTATAAAATATAAATTGTCAACAGAGGGCACCACCAAATACATCCTTTATATATTTAACATAATATATTACAGCATTTACTTCTTTCTAGCAATGATTGATTTATATCTAATATAAGACCATGCTGAATACACACAAACGTTTCTAAATAAAAACTATTTTTATACTACAAATAGAAGCCATGACAAAAGAAAAAATAAAGAAATTTATTTAAAGATATCCATAGAGGTTTGACCCTAGGTAATCATTATTGAAAAGGGGAATTAAAAAAAGCATATACATGAAGACATTAGAAAATCTGAATTGATAAACTTTTAGTTTCTACTTTTAAGTCTACTGTTAACCAAATATTTATTGAAATTTAAATTAATTCTTTAAATTGTTCTCTAGTCCATACGTAGTAGAAAACTGTTCTTTGGGGATTTTAACACAAATTTTATGGAACAAGCACTAAGTGTTTATTCATAACAAATAAAACTGAATTTATGAGAAACAAAATTTTATAGTTGCGTATTTCAGATTTGCTTTCTCTCTGCTACATTATAAGGTATTAAACTAGAAGGGTCAGTAAAAATAAAAATATATATATATATATAAACAACAAATAGTAAGTATTGAAAAACTAAAAAAAAAAGTTGCACGTGACTGTGAGTCTAGAGTTGTAAAAATCTCAAATGTTGTACCAGTAATAATTCACCAGTCTCTTTCACTTCAACCGAGATTTTCAAAGCCATAATTAACGCAGAAAATAAACAAAAGTTTTTTTTGTCATATTTAAATTGTTTCATTAAGCTAACTATTAGACAATATTTAGAAGCAGACAAATAAAGTCTGGAATGTAGCAAGCACAAAGCGAAATGGGCCACCTCATGGCTATCTTTCCAAAACAATTTTAGTAGTATTTTCATACTGATAAGCTAAACTACACACACACACACACAATCATTATAATGCATAGAATACCACTAATTAAGACTACAGAGAGTACACAGGTGGAGCGAACCATGGGCAGATGGTAGCAACTCCTCCATAAACTGAAGCTATCCTCCCACAACCAGCAAGATCTGGAAAGCTGCCAGCAGGATTTCAAATCCTCCTGTATTGGCATGGGAAAGCTGCGCTGGTAGTGAGAAAAAAAAGCCTGAAAGATACAAAAACAACAAGAAGTACACACACATAAACATGTTTTTATTTCATGTTGTTTTTCTCAAGGGCTGAGAACTCACAATATTCCATACATGAGCAACTTGAACAATAATTCGTTGTTAAGAATTGAAAAGTTCTCTTACTAGCTGGGTGTTAAATCTAAAAACTTAGTTCCCTTCATATTCTTTTCATAACTATAGGAAAAACACATCATTGTTCAAAAGTGAAATATTTTCTGTTAATAACTATTTTGTTTGTTAAACCTCCTTCAATATTTTGTTTTTTTTTCCACGTCTATGAATATCGTTTTCTTAACAATATTTCCTGTTGAAAACTTTGCGATTCATTTCCTGGGGAATTGTATATTTGTAATATTTTATATTTAAGAAGAATAACACTTAAACTATGGAAATATAAACATTTTCTACACATCATTAAATATCACCAAGAATTTGGCAGAAAGGCAATCTTTCAAATCACACAATTAAAAATAAGTATAATATAAAAGTTGTGGGATTAACTACTTATACTTAAGTATAAAAGTTGTGGGATTAACTACTTATACTTAAGTATAAAAGTTGTGGGATTAACTACTTATACTTAAGTATAAAAGTTGTGGGATTAACTACTTATACTTAAGTATAAAAGTTGTGGGATTAACTACTTATACTTAAGTATAAAAGTTGTGGGATTAACTACTTATACTTAAGTATAATATAAAAGCTGTAGGATTAACTACTTATACTTAAGTATAATATAAAAGCTGTAGGATTAACTTTTTATGCTCAATCTTAGAATGTCCCCTTAGTGGTTTTCTCAGCCAAGTATTACGAGGTGATCTCATTCTTTCGATACAAACCTTCAAGTTGGTAAACTGAGTCTTTAATCTGCTCAAATTTCATATTTTTTTTAGACCCAGATACAGCTTAATTACTAAGCTTGATAAATTATAGTAGAATTCTATGGTATGTAAACAGTGATTTATGATTTTTTGGTTATTTCAAATGTATGTACATATATATATGTATGGGATTGACCTCGTATTTAGGAGATTATCAGTAAAGTTACAAGGCTTTCATATGCAAGATATCAATTTTTTTTATAAAATCTTAAGGTTTGTTAAGCAATGTTTTTTTCATGCCTTTTTTCTTTTCGCATGTTGCCTATCCAACATGCAAAGTAATTTTCATTTTAAGATTAAAAATACTTTTATGCATCAGAAAGTTTTTAATTTTCACATGTGAAATCTTTATAATGTCCGGATAGTTATCAAACTTTTCTTTATCTCTTATTTTCACTAAATATTCTCTGTACGGGTCCAGTAGATTTGACCGATCTTATAACCACCATAAATAAAATAGGAAATGAATATAAATTATGACTCTTTCATTCTAGAATGA